GTGACACAGGTCACGCCATCAAGACCCCAAGGATTCTCCATCCACATTGGGCTGGGATGCTCCAGCATTGGACTTCGTATTTGTGAAGTGCCTCCCGGACTTGCCATGGTCTGCCAGGGTTTCCAAACACTGATGGGTTTTACTTTGATCTGGGCTGTGAACTTCTGCGGCTTCTTACAGCCAGATGAAGGAAATAGTGAAATAAAACTGGTCTAGCACTGAAAGCTGCATTATGCTCACAACAGCCTATGCCAGAAAACATCAAGATACAAGGATGCATCTTTGATCTCTGACTATTTGTAATAAAAAGTGCAATTTCCCTGACAGCCAGAGAAAATAAGAGCAAGCACCACTTCAGTGAAGGTCCCCCAAGGCATGGAGACAGCAAGGAAAAGAGAAAAGCAGCAGTGCCAAAAGCATTTATCTTCCTCTGTCACCATAGAGCACAGCAGGCAATTAGCCATTGGTATCTCCAGATCCCACTGCTCTGCCATGCTGCATTACTCCTACCAAGACAAAAGTGGGTGGTAAGTGCTAAAAATCAGTTGAGAGTCACCAAAAAAAATCATTTTGTGAAAAATTACTGTACCAGAGCAAAAACCAGCGTGCAAGCTCTTCTTTGTGGTCGGCAGCACTGAAATCTGCGCCCATGACTATGAACCTTAGGTGGAAGATACTCTCCTGCTGCCTTTGGACGTTCTTCCCATGTAGGGCTCGGGACATCACGGGTGTGATGGGGACACTCTGCAGCATTAGAGACCCCTACAGGCACAGTCAAAAAATCTTTCTGAGAAACCCTAGGCACATGTTTTCCAGTTTGTATTCCTTGCTTTCAGCAAGCAAAGGAAAACCTGGAGAGTAAGACTGGTTCTACCATGAAAAGGGTCAATGCAACTCAGCCAAATGCTCCTTTCCAGAGACGAGCCAAGCAGAAGTCGGCTGAATGCTCTGTCACCATTATAGAAGAGACCGAGGTGAGATTTGTCAGGAAATGGGTGTGAACGACTAAAGGACAGTTTTATTTTCCCTGCTGGGGAACGCAGGCATATGAGAGCCCCTCCTTACCTCTCCCTTCTGGTGCCCGCTGTATCCTCTGTGGCAGTCACAGCATCAGGACAAAACCTGGCCAAGACCATCAGTTAGAAGAAAAGCATCTTCCCCAAACTCCGTTTGAAGCTGGACTCCAGGCTGTAACAGCTTTCAGACAGGACAGGGCTTCTTCTCACTTTTGCTCACAGAAGTTACACTCACATGTTGTGTGGGAGCGTGGACTCGTGAAACCCAACTGCTGCTGCTCATCATTGTGCTGCTTTTCACAGAAATACCACGGGAAGTAATTATTACACTATCAGTGTGACCTTTCTTAAATTATCTTGGCCGCACATGTGCCAATCCCCTGCAGAGATACACCAGGCTTCAACCTCATAACTGCGTTAAAATGTGTGTCCAAAGCCAAGAACTCACCCCATAAAAGCTTCTAGGTGCTCGCTGTCTCCTCGCAGGCCTTTGGCTGGGGGAGCTCAATGCAAATGTATGGGTGGGCTCCTAAACGATCTGCAGCCATCATACAGACCAGGGGCCCCAGGTGTCACACCAGTCATCCTTGCACATTCAAAATACACTCTCAGCCCTGATATGCCAGTATTGCCCAAGCCTCAGAAAAGCACAACTGACTCCAAAAAGCTTAACTTTTGCATTGGCTACGCTTGCAGTCTAGCAGAAACTTTGATTTTTGTTTTCCATGTCTCAGTAGGTCAGAGAGATGACAAACTGAAGTTTAAAAACAAGAGAAAAATCCACCATCACCAGCTTCCCTTATTAATCTTACTTTCCCCATTATCATGTCTTTCCCCTTCCTGTAGGTTGGGCTTTTTTTGTGGAATTCTTTTTTGTCAATAAAATAAGCCTTCGGAATCCATCAGTCCCTACAGTATTAGTCTCCAGTGCTACCCTCCCCAAAAAAACACACCAAAATCCATATTACTTTTGGCAGCAGCTTGCTTCAGGAATTCCAACCAGTCAGCAAGGCATGACCTCTCATTCCTGGAACCATACGGCCTATCTTTGATCAAGTTGTGTGTTCTCACTTGTCCCACATTTGATCCCTTTCAAATAGTTCCTAGGTGTCGCTTCCTTCCTCCCACCCAACACACAAGTCTAGAACAAATCTCACATGCTTCAAAACAAAAAAAGTCAAACACCCCCCCCCCCCCCCCCAATTTCAGGGAGATTTCCTCTTAAAAAAAAGCTTGATGAAACCAGCCATGAACCTTCAAAGGCAGTTTCATACTGTGATTTAGAAAAAAGGCAGGGGGTCTTCTCAAACTGAAGAGAGGAATATTGCCACATTTAAGCAAGACACACCACAGATTGTGGCCTGTGAATTAAAAACCAAGTTACCCCATAAACCTGGCAGCATCCAGCTCTGCATACGGTGATAAAGTTACACTTAAAGTCCTCTAAGCAGCTTTGGGAAACGAACATGTAATTGGGTAACACCACACCCTTCGCTGCAGCATCTTGTTTAGGACAGAAGACAGCAAGCAGAAAACACAGTGCAACGTGGTTCCTGCCTCCATGTAGTTAGAGAAGGCTGTGTGTTTCCAAATTAAACTGGGAAGTAAAGCCATGTGGAATACTGAACAGCCTAAACCCCTCTTTTGTCAGGCATGTTCTATATCACCATTTATGTCTCCCCCTTCCCCCATCTTCATTGCTGGGAGGGCTGTTAAAATCCTCCTCCTATCTTTTCTGCCTCATTGATTCACCATTTCTTTTCAAATCTCACTGAAAACAGCACTTTCCAGGCTAGTTTCTATGACTCCTAATTTCCTGCTCTCTCATCTATTACAGCCAGCTGGAAACAACTAGAAATCCACAGGTCCCAAGTCACTCAGGAAGAGAAATCTCATTGAAGCATTCCAGGCAACCCACCTCTGTTCCTGATGGGTGCCAGCCACCAGAGACAAGCTCCATTAAAGGTTTGGGACTTTTTTTTCCTCCTCCTTACACTAATCAGTTGCTATTTACCTCTGACATCATGCAAGCTGCATTTGTACATTCAGTTACCATTATTCAGCGGAGTCCATTTTTATACAGAAAGTATTGACATCCTCTGGGTAGTCAGGATACTCTGCTTGGTACAAACTGGTCGAATCCTTGATATACTTTCCATCAGTGTGGTGTACGACAGTTCTTTAGTATTTATACTGGTTTGGCAGTTTAGCTAAATTCAAATAAGCCATTTAAAATACTGGAAAAACCCCTCAGAGATGATCCTCTCTATATGGTGATCATAAAGCATCAAGAGTCTGTTGTCAGTGACTTAAAGGCTGCCTGTGTCACGGGTACTTACACGAAAGCGCTGTCAGAGCGGGATCACGTTGCTGAAACGCAGCTTGATGAGCAGCCAGCAGAAGGCTGAGGTCAGGCTAGTTACCAGATCCCTCGGGGAAGAACGCGTACAGCTTATTAAGGGCCCAATTGGGCATAAAAAGCCAATTGCAGTTCTTTTAGGAGCCAAGTGTCATCTCGCCCACTACAAAGATTCATTCACACCCAAACGCAGTACAGTCAATTCTTCACACGCACTCCGGTTAAGTCAGACTAGTACTGATCCCACACCTAGGCAACGTGAACTTTCCTATTTCCTCCTTCCCTCTTCGTTAATAAAAGCAGAGCTTGGCATGTATTTAATTGTAAAATTAGCTTTGCATGAAGTAGCACTTCTTGCTTTGGGGGTGTTCAGGAAAGCAGAAAAGGTCTAAAGTTTGTTCTGTCCCAGCTCCATCACACCCAGTAACAGCTTTCCAGGTGTTCACTATTACAGTCTTCCTCCAGCTACTGCTAATTCACCACCTGCTTCCACTGCAGCATGTACCTGTAGCCCAATAACAGTATTTTCCAGGGAAAGTAAAAGTAACTAGAAGTCTTCTTCGGCAATAAAAATAAAATTAGGCCTTCTTAGCCCTACCACCTGGTATGCTTTAATGGTGTGAAATTTCCCCAGACCAGCCAAGTCTGGTGTCTGCAAGCAACAGACCAAGGCTGTAGCCTTACCCTCTGCTCTGGCTGCAGGTGGCTGGCTGAAAATTACTTCCTCCAGCTCTCTTGAGGGCCTCTTTCTGGAGGCTATAACCCCTCCAGACACACATGCACAGTCCTGTGAGACGCCCTCACAGACAACCTACCTAGAAGGCAGATCAGTAGCAGGGCCACCGCACCGCAAGTCACAGTGGAGGCAAGCATGAAGGCCAGTATCCCTCCCTTCCAGCATCACGACACACAACTGGAGGATGGTACTTTTCCCAGAGCTTCAGAGTGGGGAGATAGGGGAAAAAATTCCAAGTCGCCTTTTCTAAAACCCAGGACAAAATATTTATTCAAAAAGTCTCTGGGACACAGAGATGGGAACCATATTCCAAGACTGTTTTAGTCAATCCAGGAGACTGTCACCTTAACACTGTCACTTCCTGACCACGTTCTGCAAGAAAAAGTCCATACACACACATTTGAGTAACAATGCCTCCAGTAAGTTGTCTTCTCTGCAAAGCCAGCTGAGGTGATCAGTCAGGAAGCTGATCATCTGACAGAACAGGACTGTTTTATTAAAAAAAGGGAATGATAAATTTTGACAATATTCCAAAGCCTGCCTCCTGTTAGCCTCTCCCCGCTCTCACAGAAGCCCACGGTAAACAACTAACTCTGGATTTCAGACCATCACAGGCACATTCACACTGTTAAAGTTTAACAGCGTGAGGGTGAAGGAAACCTGGAGAAGTATTTAGTTTCTCAGCCGTGAATATTCTTCCACCAGCAGAGCCTCTGCCCTCCAGCTGTGGCCTCACAATCAAGAGGGACAGCTTACATTGCATGTCAGATGCAGCAAGTGGACTTACTCAGAAACCTAGATCCTACGTGCACTAACATTAATTAATATTGCTAATTTCTTATGGTGCTTTGCTGAGAGAAAGACTACATATGAACAGACTGTTAACGCATTATTTGAGCGGTCGAGTATTAAGGTACAAACTGCACATTAAAACCTAAGGCAAAATACTGATTGCCTTGGAATCTAACCTAAACCCATCCCAAAGGGTTTTCAGTGAGTAGAAAGATGGTTTAATGGGAACATGACTCACTCCACATTTATGAATAGGCAATGAACTTGTGAATACCACATGGTATCACTTAGCAGAACACAAACACAACTGCAGTTAGTTACAGCACCACTCTCCATTTTAGGAAAAAATTAGGTGCTCCTAAGACATCCTCCAAAAGCCCAGAATACCTTGAGATTCACTAACAGACACTTAGGAAAGCAGGAATCTGCTTCTCAGGAAGCAATTCAAACAGATTCCTCTCAGAAGAGGCCTTAAGAGCAGTATGATTTCTGAAGCAGGTGGAACACAACCTGAATAAGACTCTCTGGGGAAACACTAAGCAGCTCTGTTTAGGAAGCAACGCGTAAAGCTGAAGAGCTTTGGCTCTTTGGAGTATGCTACCACTGGAACGACTATTTCTGGAGGCAGTAATACTGAAGTACCAAGAAAATACTTTGCTTGTTGAGAGATCACGTGAGATTCCTGTTGCACATAGCATAATTCTAGATGCTGCTAAATTAAATCAACTTTGCATTAGAAATAGCAGTCTTTAATAAGAATACTACTCAAAGTATATCTGTCCTAAATAACGCACCATCCAGCAGTTCCTTAAAAGCATCTTGTCCTTTATCGATGACAAGTATTCTATAGAAATATTTACGCTTGAGCACATAAAAGGAGTCTCCGCTGCTTTAGAAGCAGGTCGCTCTTAGCCTCTGCTCTTTTGCTCAGAAAGCGGCCGCCGTTCAGCGCCGTGCTTGTCTCGCTGATCAAGAGCTAAATAGAGGAATCCACAGTAAAGTGCCCGTTCTGAGAAAGTGTTCTGCGGTCTGTGGTGTTTAACTTCACCACCGTGGGGGTGTATTTGGAATTCCTATAACAGACAAAGCAGAGGATCCTCCGGAAGGTGCTACGCATCTCGTTGTCCCTGTAAGAGTAGACAATAGCGTTTATCAACGAATTGATCTCTGCCAGCAAGAGGACGTATTTCTCCACCGCTAGAACATTGCAGCTCTTGCAGCCCAAGCCATCCAGGAGGAGCACAACTTGTCCTGGAGTCCAGCAGATGACAAAAGCACCTGGGGAGAGAAGAAGCCCTGTTAGAGAAGAAGCAGGTTCCTGGCCCTGCCCAGTCACTCACCATAAAGATGCTCGATGGAATCACTGGTGTTTTATCTTGTGGAAAAAAGTTAAACGGGGGGAAAAAACCCAACTAGTTTCACTCTGTATTTTTGCTTTGGAGGAAGACTAAGGGTTCAACCAGCGAATACTAGAAATGCAGGCATTGGCTCCCCCCAACCCTTTCTCCCCCACCATTCACTCAGAACAACACTTCCAAGTACTTCCACTTACCTCCCCTCGTCCCCATCATTGCATTTACAGACTGAAGATAAAGCGTCCGTATTTCCTATTTACGTGCCACTCCCTCCAAACGGGGGAAGAGGCCATAAAATGAGGGAAGAGTCAGAGTAACACACCTTGAATGAAATAATCTCCACTATCCATACAGTTTACGGGAGCTTTACTTAACAGTACGAGTTTAGAAGAGTCCTGGCCAACGCTTTGGGCAGTCCAATGAAGTCTCTCTCACAGCTATACGCTGAGTAGAAAACAGCCAAGCAGTGGACTGGCCAACACCAGGACTGAGCTGGACGGACTCCCCCACTGATTCAGTCGGGCTGATACTATGTGCTTGCCGCCACCTGCAAAGCTCTTTGGCAAAAGGATAATTGCTGTTTGCATGACGGAGTGGGAGGTGCCTGCGGCTCCGAAACCCCTTTTTATGGTCATGATTTTAAGGCTGACGTAAACGGAGCACTTGCCCATCAGTGCTCCTGGAGGTCATGCATAAGGTTGTATCTTAAAGCCCAGGAGCTGCACCCTGCTGTGTCTTCTGGGAAAGGGTGGAAGAAAACAGACTTACTGGGAACTTTGCAGCTACACCCTTTACTGAAAGACATCCATCAGGGAATAACAACAGCCGGAGGAGCTGCACCAAAGCTGGGAGGCTGAATGTAAAGCTGTCATTGAGGGAAATGCTGCACTGGTGAAAAGTCAAAGGAACACAGAGAAACACTCCTGCGTTTCTGGAAGCGTTCCCTGCTGACTTCAGGCCACTACATCACGCAACCCTTTTTATTTAAGCAAATCATGCTCCCAGAAGGTCAGTGCAGCAGCCACCACAGCTGGGCCAGGAAGTTTTCCCTGCACTTGCAGACACGGCTTTGCCCCTTTAAATTTAGCAAATATACAAAATAGATTCCTGGCTGTCATGAAGGAAGGTCCAATACTTCTATCTTGAGTGAGCCTGCAGGAAAGGGACCTCCTTGTTTAGTGACGCAACTTTTTTTTTTAAGCCAGGTTTTCAGCATTCAACAAGGCAAGCCAGATTCTCTAGAGGCTGACTTCCAGCAGCACAAAGTAAAGCCAGAGGAACATTAAAGATGAGAGGGGGGGGAAAGCAAAGAGAGCTACCTAAAAAGTTTTGGGCCTTTGCCTGCAAATCCAGCTGATTTCCCTGCTCCTTAATGGAAGCTGAAGTACTCAGAAAGAAGCCTGAACTCTTACTAGTCTAACACAGCACGGTCACCAAGGACTCTGCCCTGTGGTTTGGTCATTACGACATCCCTGCGTCACTCAACTGGTCTGTGGGAAAATTTGCTACTGGTTTCCAGATATACCTTGGACTTATTATTGGTTTCCAGGTCAGCTCCCAGACCTGTTCCTAATGGCCAGGACCTGCAGGATTATCAACCGCAGCTACCTTGTCTTGCAATGAAGTGGCACACAAACAGCTCCTACCGCACCCTCAACTTCCTCACATGCTCACCAGCAGCTACACCCTCTGATGCATAAGGCGCAAAGTATTCTTCTGTGCAGAGTCCAAGTTTGCAGAAGGCTGGGGAACGAGGGTGGAGGAGGAATTACACCAGGGCTTTCACAGGGAGGGAAAAAACCCTCTGCAGTCTCAACTTGCTGTACACCGAGTCCGAACAGAAAGGTATTTTCCTCAAGTTGAGCAATTCCCTCTCTTGTTCCTTTCTGTGCAAGGGACCTGTACAGAACTGACTGCTGCTTCTCTCCAACACTGCCCCGCAGAGGAAGGGAAAAACCCTTGGGCTACAAGACCCCCAAAGGCCTGATGAACTCCTGAGTCTGCCTCAGCTTTCTGCATTAGGTTCCTCCCCTCTCTGTCCATCCTCAGACACCAGTCCCAATTCACTGTGAAACCACAGCGGCTCTTCTGAGCCTCCTCGGACCCAAGCTTTTTCCTCACTCGAGGCAGAAGACAAAGGCAGGCAGGCCGAGCCAGGAGGGAGGACACCAAGAGGAAAGGGATCTCCCAAAACAAGGTGATGCACCAAGCGTGAACTGTATTTTCCTTCTTGGCCAGCATCCCCATCCTGCCAACCCTCTTCCAGTTGATGTTGTGAAGTCCCATAAAACTAAGCAGTCCTGCTGACACCACGGGGTGACCCTCCAATACTGTTCGGGAAGGAAAGGGGGAACAAGACAACTTCTCTCCACTGTGGACTGTACAAAACACATGAAGTAAATCCTTCTTCAGCCCCGCTGACCTTCTGTGCTGCATCTGATCAGCTCTGAGGCAGTAATGAACTCCCAGCTGCGCACAAGAGATGGAGCGATTGCGAGGCAGGGAAGAAGACGTCACAGGAAAGGCAGGAACAGGCAGAAAACTCCAGTTTCAGTGCTCACACGTTGCAACAAGACCCGGCAAGCCGGCATGCCCCCGAGCAGGGACCCCCCAAGCAGCCCGACAGCCCCCCCCCCACTGCTCCCCTTCCCTGCCAAGCCCACTCTGCCAGCAGGAGTTTGCAAGGGAGTAGTCTTTGTTTGCAGCTACAAGGTTTCCCTGACGGAGCAAATTCTGCGCTTATCAGGAAAGATTTGCAAGCAAGGGGTTGTGACTGTAAGCCCAGAGTCGAGCTGCGTTGCGGAAGATCTGAGAGCGTTGATTTATTTCACTTTAAAGAAAGATTGCTAGATCATTAAAGCATGAGACAAAAATGAGATTAAAGAAATCACGGAGTGATAGGCTGCTGAAAGCACAATGCGTGCACCAGCCTCTGCTGTTAGATGTACAGCACTGGGCAGGACAGCACATATCCAAGTAAGTATCAACCAACCGTCAAGCACCAACCACTTCCAGTTACTGATCTGCTCCTATTTGCACTACAGACTGTGGATGCAGACAGACTGACAGGCAGTTAGCACTCTGCTGGAGATCCCCTGCTCATGGAGAGCAGCTCGAACTAAGAGTTGAGAGTTTCCAGGGATATATTTACCCGAGCAGATTGAGACCCGGTACTGAGCTGCTCACAAGAAATCTGAACAGAGGTCAGTGCTTTGTTCCAGTCAACAGTAAGGAATTTGGATGCAACTCCCTCATTCTTTCCCCATCACCTCGTAATATCTGCCCCAGACACCTCTCCATCCTTTAATAAAGGACGCACCAAGCGCTGCTTCTTGCTTAAGGCCGGATTATAGCTCCTAATTCCATGCTACTCTTCTATGGAGGAAGCATACTAGAGTTAAGCACATAAGAGCCTCTTGTTTGCAACTAGCACCTGCACTTACAGTAGTCAGATATTACCAAGTCACATTACTAACAGTCCCTCTTGTCCCTGCTAACCAGAGGAGCAGCCACGTCAGAGGGGAAGATATTCAGGAGCTTGCCCTCCCCTCTGTCTGCCAGGTTGCTCCCATTACAGCTCACACAATTCATGCAGAGTCTTGAAACTGTTGAGTTCCTCAGCAGCCACACCAAGCCATCGCCCCAGCAGCTTCAGAGACCAGGGAAGCAGAACATCACTTCTCAATCCTCCCCATTGTCCCACGCACATTCACCTCTCCAGCCCCGCACAACCCAAGATGGAGGATCAAAGCAACATTTAGATTGACCACAGCAAGTGGACTTACTTAGGATAATAGTGACTGTCTTGACAAGGCTGATCATGGTCTCCTTGTAGCGGGGGTGGAAGCTAGTGTGCTTGGACATCCGTGTCATCTTCCTTTTGACATAGATGAAGATGTGCGTGTACACAACCACCATGATCAGGAAGATGACCAGGTTGGAGATGGCCCAGAAGGTCAGGTAGCTCCTGCTGTAAAGCGGTGCCATGCTGGAGCACTTCTCCAGGGCACAGAGGCAGTGCCAGCCATAGGATGGGATGAGCCCCAGGAGCAGGGCCGTGACCCAAATACAGAAGATTAGGATCATCACACGCTGGTTGGACATTTTGCTGTGTAACTGCATAGTGAAAACAGTCTGGTGCCTTTCTACAGCGATTGCCAGCAGGTTCACCACAGAGGCTGTCAAGCTCGTGTCCAGCAGGCTCTGGCGGATGAACCAGGTCTTCAGGGAGAGCTCTGCTGTCCTGGGCCCCGTGTGGAACATCAGAAACATGTACGCGATGCCAGCAAAGAGGTCAGCAGCTGCCAAGTTCCCCAGCAGGTAGTAGATGGGGTAGTGGAAACGCCGGTTGATGATGATAGCAGTGATGACCAGTAGGTTGGTCAGGAGCACAATGACACTCACTGTCAGGCCCAGGGCAACCACCAGGACATCCTTCGTCCTCCAGTACGTGGTCAGCTCTTTGCGGCTGTTGTTGTAGAAGAACCCCACGGTCTCATTGTAAAAACAGTGCTTCATCGCTGCTGTCCTAAAGAGGGACGAGAGTGTCATTAGCTTGTTGTGCCTGCACACACACACACAACTATTACAAGCCAGGGAGATGCTGAGCATTACGATAACGCCTTTGACACAGACAGAGGCGGGGAGGAGCTTGAAACACACAACCAACCACATGAGCAACAGGAATCTGCTTCTGTACTTGAGACAGAGCTACACATCTCACAGGCTGAGTCCTCATCTGTCCTCAAAGCCATGCTGAGGATGCAGCAAAGCCTTGAACATTCATGGGAGGAGATAAGGTTTGCCAGATCTGATAAGAGATTCTCCCCATCCGGCCCACGCAGCTTCATGGGGATGACAGACAAAACTATTTTTGTTGTCCCAGATGTCCTACTTCAGAAATGTAAAAACAAAGCAGGAGCAAAGAAGGTTTATCAGTCAATCACTAAACAACGCTCTGATGAAGACTATGAGCCTCCGCAGCTGTTGCAGTCCCCAGGACTGCTGCTTCTGGTTCAGTGAACACACATATCTGATCTTTCCTGGGTAGTTTTATTGCTTAAAGGCTAATGTAATGCACAGCTGCTTCCGAACGCTGCTCTACGCACAGCGCTTGCCGATCCTTCCAAAACAGGTGAGCACTTCCCAAACTTTGCCAAGAGGCAAAGAGCACACAGAGCTGGGCAGAAACAAACTCCTCAGCCCAGAAAAGTAAACTAGCAAGAAGTCAGCTCATACAACCACAGGGCTGCATCTCTGGAAGAGCTGGATCATCTGCAACCCCTGCAGCACTTCTAGGCTACGCAACAGTGTGTGGGTCAGCACCTGGAGTATCAACTGGTAAGTCACCTGTGCAGGAAGCAACTCCCTTCTCCCCTTCCAGCTCTGGAACAAGGCTGCAATTCAAAACTCATTGAACTCAGTGGAAAAACTTGATAGGAAAAGACGTTTAAGTCTCAAGGAGGACTTTCCACATTTCTTTGATGCAGTGGGCACTGCTGGGAGCAAGACCAGACAAGCCATTCGTCTGGATCATAACATTAAGTCTTAATTTTGAAAGCCCATATACCTCTCTGGTAATTAACTTCCTGTCCTGCGGACAGCCAAACATGAAGCAGCGGGTTAAGTTAAGGGATGTTTTACCTTACAGAGTCAGAATTTAAACCCAGTAATTGATGCTTGCGTTACTTGTCCATGAAAAAATGAAAACACGAAAAAAATACAGCACCATGAACAAAGCCAAGGGATGAGAAGAAGCCCAATCATTACACCCCACAGCAGATGTTCGTGTTCCTTTCCTAACCAAGAGCTTGGAAATCTCAAGTCAGGGCTGGCTGCGGTCCCCACTGGGATGGGCAAACCCAGTTTGGAGCCTCCTTCCTTGCGGCACTGAGGTGCTGAAAAATGACACAGTTTTTCCTTACCCTGGTGTGTTCTGCACATGAAGTCACTGGTTCTCCCTGTCCTCACATGAGCTCAAGTCATCCTCATTTTAGAGAAAGCTTAACGCAGACCACGCAGCAAGAGTGCCATCCTCTTCAGACAGGGAGAAAACCCAGAGTGCCTGACTCACAGTTCACTTCAACCCCCCCCAAAACCAACACACAGCTCCTTAGTTGCATGTTCCTCCACTCTCTAGGCAGCAACTGCTCCGTTTTCCGGCACGCTTCACCAGGAGCTCTCGGCATAGCAGCAAGGGAGGCGAGATCAATTGCAGGCAGGCCAGCTTATTATCACCTGCACCGCACCCACCTCTGCTTGCACACGTGCCGAGTTGTGCAAACAAGATGGCTGAGCCAGGAAACCCTATCATACCTGCAGCTGAACTTTTGATCTCCGCTGCCTAATGGGCTCTGTATCAGCCTCCTTCGGCATATGGCTGTCTTTAAAGTGAATTAGTTCGGTCGTATAGCTTTCTCGCCTCACGGTAAAGTCTGCTGAATAGGGTACTATTATTTTTACAAATATTGGCAGGGAAAAAAGGAAAAGGAGGCAGAGGAGGAATCAGCCTGCCCCATGGGATGGAGTCATGGGCTAGTGCTGTAACAAGTCCATCTTTCCTCTCTTTTCAGGTCATGGGATGTTTGTAGATCGCAAGGTGTAGAGCTGTTCAGGAGAGTCGTGTGGGGGATGAAAGCAACCGAGTGGGTTCTGCAGAGATACCATGTGGCAACTTGGCAGGTAACTGGGGAGTATTTTGGCTTGAACAGCAGAAAGCGATGGAAGGACAAGGAAGGGAGGAAAGCCTAGGAACAGGGCAAACACAACCGCTGTGAATCACAGGCAGGTGGATGACCACCTGCGTAGGGTGTATCTGGGGAGGCACTAAATCCACAGCTAGGCCATTCTTATGCAAAAGAGTTTCCTCTAAACATTTTTGAAAGCTTTAATCCCAAATCAAAAAGGAAATCGCTGCTGAAGTTAGTTAGGTAAGTCATTGCACTTTTTAATATTACACATGCGGATGCCCAGAAACTTGCCTGCACACAGCGTGGCACAAAGACAGCTCACACTACGCTTTAATTCTTAAGAAACATTAAAATACTACAGTGAAATAATGGGTTGATGGATCTAGGTCTTGTTCTCAGTAATTTTTGGGCCAACACCAACACAAATTAAATCCAGATAAGACTAGCTTTAGTATTGCCACTAAATTATGGAGCCCAATCTTATTTTGTTGCAAATATTAGAGATTCCACAGCTATGACAGGCCCCATAAACTTCCTCGGTAAGACTGCACGCTCACTGGCAAATTGTGAACTTTTTTCAAAGCATTATACAAGTACAGGTTCAATGGCATGTTTACGGGGGGAGGGGATTAGAGCTGTGTAAACCCACAGAAGAGCTGTGTTCTGCATGTATAATACTCAAATCTAGAGAAACGGTCCCTCAGCATGAATCCCAATGACAACATCTGAAATGCTTCTTTAGGCAAGACCCAGTTAGAGCACAGGGAAAAGTTTGGGTTGCAAATCCCTCCGAAACACGCGTAGGCTACAAGCTAAATCTGTGCAGTGCTGTGAACTGGGTGGGGTCCAGGAGGGACTGACAGGTTAATGCTTGTGACTGGCCCTAGGAGCTTGTGTGCCACTTCACTGCTACCCTGCAATTAGAAAACTGACCTTGGAGCTTGGCATCAAGGGCAGATAATACCACAAATCAAAATTTAACAGGCAGTGCTGGGGGAAGAGAGACACCCTGCCCACAGCAGCAAGCAGATAGAAAGTCAGGCTGGTGCCATGATGCACAAAGGAGCTGGACGGGTCTATTGTTCAGTGTCCGAGCAACCCCCTTCCATGGCCTTACACTCCTCAGCAGGATCTTACAAGATTTTTCCTTACCAGCATTGTTTACTCGGTAAAACAAGACTCTAGTTACATGCTGCAACAATTCAGCGGCCCCTTTCCTTGAGCAATACGCAAACACAGACTCTTCTCTAATCACGCTACCTCAAACTCTGCTCAAGTCTCTCCCCCCCTTAAAATCGAGTACAGCTTTTGCAGTTTGGTAGGAACCACCACACAAAATGAGCGCAGAACGCGTCTTTTCTCCTCGCCAGCGTTATCTGTATTCATACGCCATCTCCCTTCTTACTCAGTTAATTACTGCCCCAGGTTCATGGTAAGTTCAGAGTCCTTTTACACAGAAAGTAAAGGTGTAAGTGTCCTCCCTTCTCCAATTCCTCTTGCTTGCAAAAGTGGAAAATGCTAGTCAGCTCCTTGAGCTCTGGGAAGACATTCAACACTTGTGAACAAACCGACAGCCAGCGTAGTGTGGAAGTGAACAGGGATGAATGGCTGAATTTATGCTCCCGCTAATAACCACAATCAGCGTTGATCAAGACAGAACAATGAATCTATAAAGGCTCACAGGGGCTCAAATCCAACCTGTTTTACCCATGTCCACTGCACACAGATTTACGTGGCCAAACATTCAAACCACTGCTATATTTAAGCCATAAACAGTACAAGCTTTTACTCCAGAGAATAGCATCCTTACCTGAAAGCACAACCACTGCATCCAAACCTGACATTTAGCATTGGTCTCCCCACCACAGGAAACCGGGGCAGCTATCCAGCAAGGAGATCCCCATCTCTGGAGAGCGGAGGTACTTTCCAAGCAAGAAAAAAGCCAAGTGCCTTACAGGAAAGTTTCAGACAAGCATTACAGCTCCAGAGCCCATCACGGACCGCTCCGAAACACTGGCTCCTGGGAGGCAAGTTTGCAAGAGCTCCGATGAGCCCGTCCCTCCTTGGGTCCTCCCCTAGGCGGGTCCTTCTAGGAGACCAGGAGCTGTAACCCGAGTCCTTGCCGCCTCCGTGGAGGCCAAAGTCACTTTCCAAGCACCTCCGGTTCTGACTGGAACAAGTTAGCTCCGATCTACCAACATCACCCTCGTGGACCGTTCCTGCTGGCAAGGTGTTGCTCTGTGGGAACTGGCACCCTCTGGTCCCAACGCTCCCACCGCACCGGTTCGCCCCACGATGAGGGTTCGCTCGTGCTCACCTGCTGCCCCAGAGCCTTTGCCCCACCGCAGGAGGAGAGCAGATCTTCTGAATGACCAGGTGTGATCCCATGATGGAGGAGCTATCTTGCCTTGGCACCAGAAGGCTGTTTTCCTAGCCTACAGCTACAGCACCCACATCTCAAGTGGACTGCCAGGTCAGGATGTGGCCCCCTACATCCGCTACAGCAGCCACACTTGCCCAGTGCAACACAAGAAACCTTGAAATGGGTAAGCAGCAGGGAGAAGGAGATGTCGTGAGACACAAAGGGAACTGAGGCACAGACTGGAAAGGATTTCCCTGCTGTAACTTGGTAAAAGCATGTGTCACTGCTAGAAAGAGAGCCCACATTTCTGATATGTCAGTCTAGCTAGTCCTTGACACATCTGAGATTCTCTTACCTGCTAAGTACTGTACAGATACCAACAGCACACTTGGTGCTAACAAGCCATAGCTGTATAAATTACGAAGGAAAAAAACCACCGAGTTTGCAACATCCATTCATTTTGATTTATGCCTGCTGCTCTTGCAAAGGCCCCAGCAATTTCCATTCGACTCCAATTTCCTATTCTCCCACCCTCCTCCTACCATCATCTGTTCCCCAAGGAACAATGTTATCACCAAGCACAACCCTAATCTGCTGCCAGTCAGATACACGGTAGAGCTTGGCAGAGCCAAGTAATGTTATGTAAAATAGGCAGGAGATTTACAAAGAGAGCCCAGCACAAAGGGGAAAGAGATAGGGTCAAAGATCCAAGGACACATTAACAGAGCAGGGCAGCCAATAAGTGGAAGCAGAGCAGTAGCGACACTGGCAGAAGAACAGATGGATGACCAGGGCAGGCTGAGATAGCAGAGGGCCAACTACCGAGTCCTGCAAAAACTGAAAATCACACCAGGCTCCCTAAATTCTACCCCTACGTCCTGCAGCCTCCAAAGGCCAAGATCATACCAGAAAGCTCACAAGGGCTACAAAAACTCAGAAAGAACCTATCGTGGCCACCTGCTTACAAATTCTGCGCCTTCAGACCGATGATGCCACCCACAAGACAGTACCAGGCACAGGGGCCTTTCACAAGATCTCCACATGCATTCTTAGAAGAAACAAGAAGTTGCACTAACAGGTATCCCAGAGTCCTTTCTTGGGGGCAGAATAATCTATGGTTTAACAAGCTTGCTTTCTCGTAGCAGAGAACAACCAAGTTACCGAGAAGTCCGGTCCTAACAGAGAGCTAGGAGTCCTTACTGCAACTAGACAGATTTACAACAGTATTATAGTTACAAGAAGTCATTTCAAATTTGAAGCATCTTACTCAAGTGACAGAGAGGAGATCCTTCACCTTCCCATGAGGCATTTATTATCCTTTTGGTTACATTATTAGTTTAAGACCAAAGAGACCCAAGTCCAAGCTGCAATAAAACAGCACACACACACACCCCGCCATTCCCCCAGCCCACCCTTTGGTCTGCTCCAGCACGTGTGCTGCCAGCAGTAGGTTTAAGTCACAGATCCGACTCTCCACGCTGGTGCACAAGAAGCAGAACCCAGGTCAGAGCAACCGTTTGGCAGCAGCGCTGGCTTCAGACAGTTAGGAGGCCACACATACTCTGCAGCTGTGCAGTTTGGGATGGCAGCAGTCTAAAAATACTTTTGATTTACTTGTTCCTTTCAGGTTTCAAACTGGCACTCAGCGAGTGCTTTAGAGGGACATTTTCATAAAGAAACACCCAGAGCAATCAGGAAAAACAGCCCAGCATAACTGGTTTCAACTGAAATGTCAACAGTTCATCACAATAGCTCAGCACGTCAGACAGACCCAGCGAGTTCGGAGCACCCAGTGCTGACAAAGGGTCAGAAGCACTTTTGCGACTCCATCCACACGCACCGGAGTCGGTACAAAGGGGGACACAAGAAACGTCAGACTGGATCAGGCCAGGGCTCATGTGAGCCTGTCACAGACTGCATCTGCCTGCATGTGGAGGTGAGAGAATATTTCAGGTTTCAAAGTCCTGACCTTAATAACAGCAATTTTTCTAGTCCCTTTGTCTAAAAAAACAACTAACTTTACTTCTCTGCATAACAGAAGTTTGGGAGTCTGTTTATTTTCAGGTTTGGGGGATATTAGAACAAGTTTGGGCCCTGCACAGCCACACCCTTTCAGGGTGCTACCTGCAAAACCAAAAGTCATTGCACCTGAAAACCTCACATCAGCTTTTACAGCCAATGTAATGATTTCTTAAAGACTGAGCTCAGGTATCTTCCAACGATACTTCTGGGAGTGAGCACCAGACACTGAACACAGGCAAGATCAAGGAGACCAGATACCCATCGTGTCCAGCCCCTCTGCCTCCCCTCTTCCCCTCCAATCACTCCACGCGTTTTCCTGTTTCCACCAGTTCAGAAGGGGCTCGTAGGGTGTTGTGCAGCGTTGTTGCCCCCCAAGCAGAAAGGCTGCTGGAGCAGAGGCACCGAGTAACCTGATCTTGATGCAGCCGGCAGATCTGATCGCATTCTGGTGCCCAGCAGAGAGCTGGTAGAGAAACACTTCCAAAGGCAGATGTTTGCCTCCCCTTTATTACACTTCTGTTTTTCAAAGTGAAGTTAATTGTTTTAATAGATTTTGCATTTTCAAACAAACTTAAAGCCAAGATTTTTCTTTAAGCCTCCCAGCTGTGGCTGTTCCCGTGGATGACAATCTGAAGGGTTTGGGTTTTTTTTGCTGAGACCCCTCTCCTGGAATCCCAGGAATGTTAAAAACCTTCTGGAAGGAGTCATGTCATCATCTTCCCCCCCAGCAGATCTCTGCAGAGAACCAGTTGCTCAAATTAATACTTCCCAAGTCCCAACTGGCCCAGAGATTCCCAAACCCTCAGTGAGGAGCACTCCCTTGAGTACAACAAAACGACAACACAGTTCTTACCACTTCAGCTAACAGCCAAATCTGTCGATGGAAAGCAGCATATACATCAGCGTTAAAAATGCAGGAATTTCATAACACCCACTGCTGCTGAAATGCAGCCAACTCTGAGGTGGAGCAGAGCTGTTTGCAAGCCTACAGCATCAAAGAATACTTTTCAACAAAGAGGTAGGGAAGAAATCCGTGCCCACTGCAGCCTTGCCTACAACAGGAATTTTCTTTCCCTCCAGCAAGTTAGCAACCATTTGCAATCAATTGCTCCAGAACAAATCACAAAGAACCTGGAAAATTCCTCTCCCCCTTTCACCTTCCCGAGGAGGTTTGCCCTGGCTGCGTTCGGACACTTAGACTCAAGGCATTTCCATATTGCAGACAACACCTTAAATTGAAGCGGGGAGACCACTGAAGCAAAACGTGACATTGGATCTTGTCACCTTTGCCTTGTTAGACAAGATGGAAAAACAGCTGAAAAGAATGGCCGGGATATTCCCTCAGATGCATCTGGGTCCTGGCGAAACAACACTCTTACCTTCCCCAGGTAACTATCCTGGAAATGGATTTTGGTGGGCTAACTTCCTTCTGCACAGTTACTGGCTATTCCAGCACTCTCCAAGATGAAAACATTTGTTCTGCAGCGGTGGAGAGAAAACAGGGTAGGGGAGGGAAGAGAGGGTTATTTGCAGTGGTGTTTTGTTTGGAGTCGGGATGGTCCAGGGGCCCCTCTGCTGCTGCTCCTCCTAATTCACACAGGAAGAAGGAGATTATCCTACACAGAGACAAGCTATACTGAAGGCAGAAGCAGCAGTTCAGAGAAAGAATAGCTTGGCCTCTGAATGATGTCACATTATTAGAAGCCACAGCAAGGTTAAAATCAAGTCGGGATGCTGTGTTTATGAAGCAGGACTCAGCCTCATCTTCACCCAAAGATAATTTCATCTGGCACTTCACACTATTGTCAATAAAAACAAAACTGGGTAGAAATTCCCTTCCTGTGAACCACATGCAGGCAGCCCTCAGCTCAGTCTCCGTTTGCAAGAAGGCTGCACGCTGCCTTGCTCTGAACTCCTCTGATCTTGGCTGGCACCCAGCAAGATGAAGTCTCCCTGTTTAGTTGGCACTTGCTGGAAAGTCAGGGAACTTTACAGGCAACTCAAGCTCCGCATGCCTCAGCCTTTGCTTTTACAGGGATTATTTCTAAAAACCCACTTCCCCCGTGTCTCCATTTGGTTTAATGTCAGATGCCTGCAGCTTATGGCTGGAGAGTCATAAAAAGCGTTTAACATGCCTTTCTGCTTAAGTCTAGAAAGAAAAAACAAAACCAATTCAGAAAAGCCTCCAGCTACAGAATAAGCAGATGCAGCACAACTGCAGCTTTATCTTGAAAAAGAGCATCAGGGACCAACACATAGCTACTATCCCTGAGCAAGAAAAGGGAATATCTGTCCCTTCAAAGAAATGTGACTTCCTCCAGAGAGTTAGCCTTTGGGGTGGTCTTGGTCAAGCAGAATTCTCAGCAACATGGCTTTTTCCCGGTTCGGTGAAGGTTTCAGCTCACTCTGGGGATGTTTCGTTATGCCCACGACTGCTTCATCGATGGCCTGAATCACGTTAGCAAGTTTGCATTTTTTCTCAAGAATCAACTCCCACAAGAGTGAGGTCACGGGGAAGAAGACTACAACGCCCCCACTTTAAACAAACAGAAGGTACGTTCAGCACAACCCTTCCCTTACA